ATGACATGTTTCCGAGATACTGGTCCCTCGCTAGCTTAGTACTACGTAGTAGTGTTCAGGTTCAAACCACAGGAATATGCCTCTTCGCAGCTCGGATTCCCTACAGGGAAGAAGAGCTTGTACTACACAGGTGACCTCACGATCGGCGCTTTGTGCACTTCTCACAAATCTGATCAAAGTCTCAGTCCAGAATAGCATTCTTGCACCGGGAGTGGTAGGAGACATTGACCGATTAAAGAGAAAAAAACTCCTTCAGCTCTGTCTCATCAAATTGAATCTAGTGGGGTGAATTGCGAGTAGGATGCTTCTGACGAACTAATGAACTGCGCTATCGCCTGTCAAACATCGAAACTGCTGACGCAGCCAAGAAAAAGTGCAAACGAGCGAAAACGCTCCGGGCCATCCGGTGTGCCAGTCCCCTTGACATTTATCGGTCTAGATTGCGTTCTGCGGAGATGATAAGATGAAAACGATCGCAGGCAAGCCAGGCCTTTGAGGGACACTGCGCAGCTAATCATAGGGCGTTTATTGTTATCATGACGCATTAGCAGCTCATGTCCGCGGAAAGCCCCTCACCAACCGGTGCCAGCTGCACGTAAGTCCAGCCCTAGATGGACGGCGCCTATCGCTGTCGTAGACGTGGTAGGATAGTCAGGCTGCATTGGTCGGGTTCTAGAACCGGTCCGCTTGTTAGGTTAGGTCTGTGGTGAGAAAATAGTATACATCTGGCAGTAACTTCCTCTACCAACTTCTCAGTGCAATTTCACCGGGATGGCCACTCTCGGGCTGCATAGTGATACAGTACTGAGGTTGAGATTCGAGAATCCTTTATTGTCTTTGATTAATGTTGAACCGCATGCCTTTGATCATATGTGCCGATATACTCAGTAGGTTGCACTCAGGGACAAGTCAAGATCCAGGAGTAGAGCTAGCATTGCGGTTAGCGCTAGAAGTGCTAGCCATTGCTGGATAAAGTGAATGTCTTGATGAAAATATATTGTACCAACCAAGCAGCAGGTGATGATAAGTATCACACCATTCTTGAATGCTGGGATGTATTTCCTCCACTAAAAAGAGATATGTTGTCGAGAAAGATTCTTGTTCCAGATGAGGCAAAACAATACAAAACTATAAATTGCGATTGAAAGCATCCGCTGCCTGGCAAATGGTGTGGCGGCAACAGAACGTACATTTTAATCTGTGATTATATCCCACGACCTTCTTCTAGTGAGAGCCAGAGGCGTACGCTCTATTTGTAGAGCCAATGGTTATCATGCGTCATAAGCCGGTCCCCGCGGTGTACAAGATCTGAAGCTGCAGGGGCATATGTAGAATGGCCATACTGTCTCACCTTACTCCGAAGATCTCTTGAGTGTCACAAATGGGGAGCGCATGACCACATGGTAGATGCAGAGCAACCTGCTACAATTGTTAACCATGATCAGAGCAAACAATGCATGTTTGTAGAGGGAAATACTATGTGCAGTACGACCGTCCTTGCACACGTAAATATAGGCAGCGGAGGGTCACACATTGAGCGCTTGATTATCCTTCGCCCCATCTCAACTACAACCGAAGCTACGATCGTATCGCAGATCATCATGAGAAGTGATAGTCGTACGAAAAGTTTGCAGTTCCTGCTCATATGCAGCTCAAAAAGTCGTTGGAAGAAAGTGGCCAAGGCATTTTTCATTTCTCGCTGTGCGATGTCCGGCGCTTAAGAATCCTATGGATTCAGGCTCAATGTAGGGAGACAGGCTCACAGTTGTCCTCGGTAAAACTGTGCGAATGAGACATTTAGCCTTCCACGAAGAAACAAGCATCCTCACGTCGTTCAGAAAAAGCTTGGTAGGCTGGAATGAAGACTACAGAGCACACAGCCTAAGCCAGGGCTGATGTCTCGCCCGAAAAGTGTTTCAAATATGCATCTTCAGATCCACTTGTAGGAGAGTGCAAACGAGATGGGTGGGTAAGGCACCGATCGGACCCACGATGGTATCATGGTAGGGGTGGTTACTTTGTATAGAAGACGTTTCAAGCTGCTAGCAACCCGTGCATGTCGCATGACCCTGCATCAAGCCGTAGACCCTGCGCTATTACCCTCATATCCAAATTCACTCGCACAAACCAAGCATCTGAATGATACTTTCTTTAGAGATGAGGCTGGATGTTGCATGGCAAGAACGACGGGCGCGGAACGTATCCGAAAAGACCTGAGATGCCAACCTCCAGCTCTTTGAGAACATGGAGATGCAGGGATCGGGACACAGTCTTATATGGAAGAGACTCTAATGCCAAGACGGCGTCAAATACTACTCCTTGTAATTTCCATGGAAAGTCTCGATCTCGACTTGCTTGATGGATCGCGCGCCTTTAATTAATTAGTATGTGACCAAATGGCGCCATTTAGTCGGAAAGGTGGATGCGCCGGCTCACAGGCCGAGGATGAACCTGTACTATACTATGCCGGTTGAGCCATGAGCCTTCATTCATGACCCGTCCACCGTCAACCGAGTGAGAAGTAAGTCTGTGATGATAGAATCAAGGCTGATTGAAACTTGAGAGATTGTTGATACAAAGCCACGAGGGGATAGGGATGTAAAGTCGAGAATGGTACAAACTTTCTAACACTACCGGTCGGTAGGGCAGCGTGGCACGTGGCCTCCATATCTTTAGTATAACTTCGGAGCTTCCATGTGAGAGGATTCAACACACCGTCATCACCATCATCACCAACGCACACACCCGCTTCATCGTCCAAGCTTTCCTACAACTCTTTGAGGTCGGGGCTTCCTTGCTTAGACGGTTCAATATCCGGTTGGTTCACAAAATCTGCAACTCTTTAGAAATGGCATTTCTTGGCAGGGCGGACCTGGAGCAGCTTGGCTCCCCGTTGAAACTTGCTGTGTCGCAGACTTGCCGCCAGAGCACCGGCGCTTGCAGCTCCACTCGCCCGCTAAGGTAAGTAGTTGATATCCATCGGGGTTGTTCTGGTATCATTCCGACCCCCCCCTCCGAGTAGCGCTAAGTCGAAAGTAGTGTTTGTCCCTGAGAATGTCTCGACCGTTGACGCCGGAACCCACAGTTGTGTCGACGCTTAGTGGCCCGGTGCCTGGCTTTCATCAATCTCAGACTCGCCTTGCTGCGGCGACCCTATCTCAGTCAATATTCAGCATCCGACAACCGCACAGGATGTGGAAACTTGACAGGTGCCAAGGCAATATACGTGTAGCATGGCCGGCTGCAATGAACCTTTCATCTTTTTGGTTTCGGGGGTTATCCGGTCTGAGCTCTGGTCAAGCCTCGATGAGATAGAGGATCGAAGAAGATATAAGAAGGCGTCAAACCACGACGTTGGGAGCTTCTTCATTCTGCTCACCAAGCTTCTCATCCCTTTCTTTACTTGGGTCTCCGAACCTTCCATTCTCTTACTTTTTTTTTCATTCCAGGCTTCATTGATTGAAGACCGCCTTTGTCACTCTTTCCAAACCATCCTTTTCCAAACTTTCACGCTGTGCGTCGATCTCAAAATGTCTGTTGCTAAGCTTGCTGGTGTCATCCTCGGTTCCGCTGCCCTCGTCGCTGGCCACGGTTACGTGTCGGGTGCTGTTGTCGATGGAACCTACTATGGCGGCTACATTGTCACTTCGTACCCCTATTCCAGCGATCCCCCGGAGACTATTGCATGGTCTACCGATGCGACTGACTTGGGTTACGTCGACGGTACTGAGTATGCTGAAGCCGACATCATTTGCCACAAGGATGCCAAGCCCGGTGCCATCTCTGCTGAAGTCAAGGCCGGTGGTACTGTTGAGCTCCAATGGACTACCTGGCCCAGCAGCCACCACGGCCCTGTCCTGACCTACCTCGCCAACTGCAATGGTGACTGCAGCAGCGTCACCAAGACTGACCTCGAGTTCTTCAAAATTGACGAGAGCGGTCTTATCAACGATGACACCCTCCCTGGTACCTGGGCCAGTGATAACTTGATCTCCAACAACAACAGCTGGACTGTGACCATCCCCTCTGACATTGCGGCTGGCAACTATGTCCTGCGTCATGAAATCATTGCCCTCCACTCTGCTGAAAACAAGGATGGTGCTCAGAACTACCCTCAGTGCCTCAACCTGAAGGTCACCGGCGGTGGTGATCTCGCTCCTTCTGGCACTGCTGGTGAGAGCCTGTACAAGGACACGGACGCTGGTATCCTGGTCAATATTTACCAGACCCTGTCCTCCTACGATATTCCCGGACCTGCTATGTACAACGCCACCTCCAGCTCCTCCAGCTCCTCCAGCTCTAGCTCCAGCTCCGGCTCTTCTAGCTCCGCCGCTGCCTCCAGCAGCTCCAGCACTACTGCCGCTGCCGCTGCCGCTACCAGCGCTGCTTCTTCCGTCACTTCTGCTGCTGGCTCCGTCGTTACTCAGACTGCTACCGCTGTCGAGACTGATACTGCCACTGCCTACCAGACCTCCACTGAGGTTGCGCAAGTCACCGTCACCGGTAGCGCTCCCCAACAGACCTATGTTGCCACTCCCAGCAGCTCCAGCTCTGCCTCCAGCAGCTCCAGTGCTTCCGTCTCCACCAGCACCAACCTCACCAGCTACTTCGAGTCTCTCAGCGCGGATCAGTTCCTCAGCGTTCTCAAGCAGACCTTCACCTGGTTGGTCAGCGAGAAGAAGCACGCCCGTGACCTCTCCGCTTAAGCGTTAAGCTCTGGTGTGGACTACAGGTCGATCACGCTTCTTTCCAATCTTCTATATAAATAGCCATTGCGCTTTTCCATTTTACTGTGATTATTCTACTCAATACGGGTCGGGCATCCTGTTATGTATCTATAAAATCAATTTCAGAAGCACTGGTTTTTTCAATCCATTCATTAGTGAGAGAACGGTAGAGAGAACGGTAGACAAAACTACGTTTTCATGTAATAAAAGCTCCAGACTTGCCACAATTGCAACTGCAGGAGGTATATCGAGGGCTAGCTCTGTCTCTAAATACGGGCTTTCATGCTGCATGCCTAAGATGGAAGCAGCCACCGTGCACTGCACAGTGAATGAATGAATGAGAGAAAGATGATGTGGGTGGTTACCTGCCCGGCCACTACCTCCGAGCGTAGTCAACCTTGGATCCATCAACACCTCCGCCATCGAGCTCACTTGGCTTCTTCCCATCACAACCCACCCCATCTAGTCACATACATTGGCCATCTCGTCTAAGTTATCATCCGCAATTACGAGCAGCTCGTCTCCATCATGCCTCCTGCGCAGGACCGTAACCCCGCCTCAGACGACATCGAACCCAACCAGAAGAGTCAATCCAAGTGGCTTAAGGACTCCGGCTATGGCAACCTCTGGAAGCTTGGGCTCTGTTACGGCAAGAAGATTTATGATCAGGAAGACCTCGAAGAGACCAAGGAGATCCTGAAAGCTTTGAGAGATATGGACCAGGAAGATTGGGAAGAGAGACAGGCTGAGAAAAAGTAGCATGACTCCACAAGAAGGTGGACTGCGATTTGCTGTAGTGGAGTATGTTCAGACGCCCTTCATTCTTGGGGGTCAGTGTGGTGCGAGGAATACTGATGTGGTTGATTTAGTACTGCTTGTCGACTCGCTAGAGGTTGTATTCACTGAAGGCAGGAGTGACACGGGAATATGTTTATGTAGAGTGATGGGAAATGTCTCTTTGCATCATGTCAAGCTGGTTGATGGGATGGCCAGGATGATTATGTACTGCACTACAGAGTACCCGGCGATGATTTAATCGAAGGCGGGGAAGAGCGGCCGATTGTTGTTGCGGCAGTCAGACCCATCCATTCCCCTCCATCACAAGCCCATCCATTCTTTCTTCTGGATAGCATTACTTGTCCTGCCCACCTTTGATCTTGAAATGGTTGGAGGGCGCTAATATACTCCAGTTAACACATATTAAAAGCTCTCTTGTACCCTGACTATCCGCCATCATGTTCAAGAAGAAGCCCACCGTAACTTACCCCTCCCCCGCACTGTCGAGCCCCCGAGCCGGTTACTCAAATTTCATCACTGACCACATTTTTGATGACGACAGATCAAGAACCTTGCGCCTTTGCGCTCCTCGGATCGCAGAAAGATTGCCGACCAGATTATCGCTGATTACAAGATCGAGATCCCTTCATCGAGCGCGCCCACCGAACCCAGCGGTGACGATTCGGCTGCCCCCAGCAGCGCATCCAACCCGACGGCGCCAAACCTCACCTCGATCCGGAATGCGCTTCTCCCCGACAACTGCCTGTCCGCGCGCTTCACCACGACGGCCGGACCGCAGCTCCGTGAGGTTCAGGGCACCGTCTACGTGGGGACGCATCCCGGGGGCGACGAGCGCGTGCTGTGGTTTAAGGTCGACCACGGCCCCGGCGCCGACGGACGCCTCTACCCGACAGTCTACACACTATGGCACAACGCAGACTTAGTACCCCTGCTGCACACCCCGGGCATGGTGATGCAGAAGCTCCAGGGAGGAGCGGATCTGATGACTCCGGGGATCGCGAACGAGCCGCCGTTCGACGAGCGGGCGGTTAAAGGTGCGGTCGTCGCCGTCGCGGATCTGGACAGGTATACCGTGCCGCGGTTCGTGGGTGTCTGTGAGGTCGATGTTTCGGCGCTTGGAGAAGTGCAGGGCGCAAAAGGCCATGCTGTCCGTGGACTCCACTGGGAGGGTGACGAGCTCTGGGCTTGGAGTTCGTCGTCCAAGCCTGGTCAACCGGCTCCCGTATACTTGGAAGGGTGGGACGATGTTGAAGAGGAGGACAGTGGCGAGACAAAGGAGCTTGAGGGAGCTGTGAATGATCTTCAGTTGGATGAGCAGGCTCCTGCTCAGGCTGCGGGAGACGACGAGCCTTCTGCTGAAGCACCGCAACCGGTCGAGGAAGAGCCCGTTGTTGAGGAGAAAGAGCCATCGACCAAAGGTCGGTGAAGCCTGCTACTTCTTCTGACAACATTTTCCGTGCGTCAAGCTAACATTGCACAGAGATTGACGAAGTCTTCGAGAAGGCCTTCCTTTACTCATTATACAAGCTCAAACAAGACAACCCCTCAGCGCCCAACCACGGCTTGTCCTTACCAGTCCAGCCGTCCGCGCTGGTGTCGAACATGATCACGCCCTACCTTCCCATCCACACGCCCAAACAAGCTCAATTCTACCAAATCAAGAAGACGAGCTGGAAGAATGTGAAAAAGTTCATCAAATACCTCGACAAGCAGCGCCTGGTCAAATCCAAGGACCGCAACGGCCAGGAAACCGTGATTCTGGACGTCGACTTCAACGACCGCCGGGTCGAGCAGTTCGTCCCCTACCGACTGCCCTCCAAGAACGTCACCGAGAACGCCGCCAGCAACAAAGCCGGCGCCGCCCCGACTAGCAGCAAAGCCATCGTCTCCTCCGACAGCGACCCCTCGGTCGGCCAGACGCTCACCGTGCAGACCCTGTACCGACCGACGGGCAAGCTGGCGCCGACTATCTTCCCGGCCCTGTCCAGCACGCACCCCAGCAACTTTTATAAGTACGCCGACGTCTCCGCCCACCTGGACCAGTACCTGCAGTCGCAGAGCCCGCCGCTGATCGATCCCCACAACAAACGCATCGTCAACCTCAACCCCTTCCTCGCCAACACCGTTTTCACGTCGGGCTCGTCGGACGACCGCAGCACCCTCGCCCGCGGCAAGACCACCCGCGACGCCCTCCTGAAACGCCTCGTCGACGACCACGCCCTCCTGACCGCCCACTACGTGATCCTGAAACCGGGCCAGACCCTGGCCGGCGGCGGCGTCAAGCCCAAGGCCGGCGCCGCCCCCAAGGCCACCATTACCCTCGAGCGCCGCACCGGCTCCAAGACCATCACCAAGGTCTCCGGGCTGGAGGTCTTCGGCATCATCCCCAGCCTGCTGGCCGAGGAGCTGCAGAAGAAATGCGCCAGCAGCACCAGCGTCGCCCAGGCCACCGGCGCAGCCAAGGGCGTCATGGAGGTCTTGATCCAGGGTGACCAGCGCCGGGCGCTGGAGGAGGCGCTATCCCGCCGCGGACTGCGCTCGCAATGGATCGATGTCGTCGATAAGACCAAGAAGAAGAAATAGGGAGAGGGTCACTCGTGCGTCGTAGCGTTTTGGACATAGCCATACATACACACTTCTATAGTCAACCTGATATCAGTTGGAGGATGCTGCCAAACACAAACCGAAGATCAACGGTCCATTGTGTATACACACACCCCCTACATCCTGCGGGTTTTGGATTGAGACTGGAATACCACAACTGCCAGACTTCTACCAAGAATGCCTACAACTCTATCAAGAACATCGCGCCTAGAAGAACCACTAGACTACAGACGGACAGACATGCTTTGGAACCCAAGTCCATTTGGAAGAAAAGCTAAAGGATAACAAAATAGGGGTAACTATACAACGCCATTATAGTATGGTCTTCTTTTAAAAGTCAAAAGGAAATCGAACCCAGGCCATGCTTGTTTTTTTGTCTTCGTGATCCCCCCCCCCCCCCCCCCTCCCCACCACACACACACATACACACACCCTTTCATGAAATAGAGGAAATACTGGTATCGAAGTCTCTTTCTTTTGTTTTGCAAATCTTATATCATCAATCCCTTTACTCCTGCTTGGCATCCACCTTCTTGGCGGGGTGGTCGCCATTGGCACCGTCCTCCTCACGGGCGCGCTTCTGGCCAGCGGACTCGTCGGTGGTGCTCTGGACAACGGGAACGCCACTGAAGAAGAGAGTGTTAGAATCACTATCAATTTTTTAAGGTATGCAAGGGTGGAGAAGAGGAAGAACTTACCGGGCGTCTTTCTGGATCTCCTTACGCTCCTCCTTGGGCTCCTCCTTCTTGTCGCTGAATCCGTTCTTCTGGTCAGCGGCGCGACGGTCTCTCCAGTCGCCGCGCTTGTTGTCGCCGCGACCGCCACGGTTGCCGCCGCGGCCACGGCCACCACGGTGGTGACCGCCACGTCCACGGCCGCCGCTGGGCTTGATGCGGCCGGCCTCGATCTCGCGGGCCTTCTCCTCGCAGTACTCCTTCTTGCTCTTGATGAGCAGGTCCTGCTCCTTCCACTTGGGCTTGGGGTCCAGGGCGAGGAAGGCCTGCTGCTTCTCCTCGGACTCGAACTCGACGAAGACGCTGCCCTTGAAGGTCTTGTCGTAGGAGCGGCGGAGACGAATGGCGTTGATGGGGCCGTAGGGGGCGAAGAACTCCTCGATCTCGAGCTGGGTGGTGGGGCCCTCCTCGCCGAAGCCCTTGGCGTAGACACTGCGGTTCATGGCCTTGTCCTCGAACACGCGAACCACGGTGGGGTTGTGGTTCTCGGTCACGGTCTCGGGCAGGGGGGTCTTGCGGCGCACGCAGGTGTCGTTGTCGGTGAGCTCGACGGTCTCGGACGACTTGATGGCCTCGACGATGGCGCTGAAGGGCTGGAAGCGGCGCATGCGCTTGAAGGAGTGGAGGAGCTCGAGGGAGACGGGGCGGTTGCTGCTACCGCCGACCTTGGAGAGCAGGAACTTGTCCATGGGGAGGTTGGAGTCGGAGAAGTAGAATTCGACCTGCTTGCGGATCTGGACGGGGTCGCTGGTCACCTCCTGGCTGGAGGGGTCGAACTTGACGTTGTTACGGTAGTTGGTGCGGCCTCCGCGACCCTGCTGCTGCTGCTCCTGCTTCTTGCTCTCCTGCTTCTGCTCCTCGGCCTGGGCGGACTTCTCGCCCAGCTTGGCGGCCGCCTCCACGATACGGGCCTCCTCGGCAGCCTCGTCGGTCTGCTTCGTCTCCTCAACGGCAACAGCAGGAGCGGCGGCCTCGGTGCTCTCACCCTTCAACTCGGCCAGAACGTTCTGAACATCCTTCTCAGCCTCAGCATTGGGCTGGGCGACGGGCTTTTGTTCGTCAGACATGTTGTGAGATTATGGATGTGGGGTGTGTGAAAGTAATGATAAGGATGCGCCTCCTGCAATTGAAGAAATATCAGTAACCGCGTACCCAGAGATTAGTATTTATCAAGAATGCGCGGGAATGGGTAAGCGAGCATCGATAGATTCGAAATCTCTCGCCGGGGGGGGCAGCGCCGCGATACGAATTCGCCTGGCCAATAATGTCCGCGTGCAGCAGGAATGGGGGGCAAAATAGATCGAGTAGGAGTGAATGCTCACCTGTGAGTAATTCAGTTGCACGAGATGCAGGAAATTGGTGAACAGGACGAAAATCTGTCTAGAACCAGAAGACTTTTACTCCTAAAAAAAATAAAATAAGATTGGAGGAGAAAGAAAGGTCGGGGTTTCTGCCTCAGCTGCAAGAGGGAAATTTCCCAGGCCAATGCGCGGCGGGGGAAATTTTCTGACCGCCCGCGGAGCTGGCGCCACATTTGTCAATTCTCTGTATGCCTCAGGCACACATATGTGGCGCATGGTTGACTCGGGAGCCGGTGCGACTAACCTCTCTGGGACGTTGGATCTATACTACACTGCCCCTCCTCCCAATTGTCCGGCTGTATCCAACTTCCACTCCTAGTATCAGTATCACCATCACACCTCTGAATAGAAACATTGAAACAGAGATTACCATGTCTACTAGGCTTGATTGCTCATCAGCCAGTCAAATCAATGAGCTTGTGCTGCCACATGTTGCTCAAATCAGCCTCAGTTCTTGGAAACAACCGACAGAGAATCTAAGCTACCTCAAAGCAGCATTGACAGGCTGGGTGGCACAAGAATTCAATTGCTTTCGTTAGGCCCCTTCCTCTCTCACAGTGGCTTCTGACATTGACGACTGATGCTGCTCGCTCAATTGAGGAAGTACGGCATACACTTGTCGATGCCCTCACCAGCCGAACGATATATAGCCCGTGTAAGTTATGTCACGGCTACTTGGCTCTCATCGCATTTCGAAGCACTGTTTGGCAGAAACGACTATCACTTCAACCCCGTGACTGACTTCATGAAGGAACTGCGAACAGAGAGGGTTATTAGTCTGGGCTCACAGTTCACTGCCCTGGTTGAGGAACATTCCAAGATGTCCTACTTTCCTTCCGGCAGTAGATGCACCTGCCTTTTCTGCTTGTTGTCTTGACTACTCGAACTTTGCGGGGATCTCCTGAATTATTAAGGACATGGATACGGTTATAGCCATGCGTCATCTTCATCAATGCTTGCTATGCCAACCTATTCGGCCTCAGCTATTCAGCCAGTATCAACATCGCTGCATCTTATACAATATCGGGTCATTGCCATGACCTTTGCGACGGTGGCATAGAGCTTTCGCAGACAATGAACGTTGCTCACAGTGCTCTTGACAGAGACCCTCTCGCTTACCTGAAGGCTTACGATCATCGGCTCGATTGCTAAGAGACAGTCGCCTTGTACTCTTTACGTCAATATGGCGACGCAAGGACAAATTGCGAACCTCGAGCCATGGCCGAAAGAAGATGTACTTTGATACCTTCGTACTCCAATAGGATAGCCAAGGCTAACAAAATCTATAGATCATCTATATCTCGATTCTAGGGCCTTTGCTGGTTGCCGCGCTATTGGAATGGATATTATTTCTTGCAGCCTTCATATACTGCCTTCTTAAAGTCTATCAGAAAGCAGACGACTGGAGCATCAAAGTCCTGGCAGTCGTTATGATTCTATTTTTCACACTGCTCAGGTGAGTTTATGCGCACGCTGAGATCATGTTTGGCATCACCTAATTGGTCATGCGCCCAGGGGAATATTCTTTCCAGTCATGATCGCCATCCTTCCCTTGCCGACGCAGATAACTCGCTATTTTCCAACGAAATTGGCCTCCGTTCTACAATGGTTCGCGTTCTGGACATTCTCCGTCCTTCTCGTGATACCCTGGCTCTTTTGCGTCAACCGGCTCATCATAAATTCTCTGGGAAGAACCAAGCGAGTGAAACAAGCATTGGATGATCGCACTGCACCCAAGACGGTCATAGTCATGCCGGTCTTCAAAGAAGAACCACACGTACTAATCAAGGCGATCGACTCAGTCGTCTGCAGTGATTATCCAGCATACTGTATTCATGTGTTTCTCTCTTACGACGGAGGCCAGATTGATGAGTCTTATCTTCAGGTTATCCAGCATCTCGGTATTCCAATCTCGCTGGAGACCTACCCGCAGAGCATCGATGTCACATACAAAGGCGCAAGGATAACGGTGTCCCGGTTCAAGCATGGCGGCAAACGACATTGCCAGAAGCAAACTTTCAGGCTGATCGACAAGGTGTACGCTGATTACCTCAAGCGTCAAGACGACCTCTTCCTTCTGTTCATCGATTCTGACTGCATTCTTGACAAGCTGTGTTTACAAAATTTCATGTACGACATGGAGTTGAAACCAGGAAGTAAACATAACATGCTGGCAATGACTGGTATCCTCACGTCAACAACAACGAAGAACTCTCTTATCACAGTTTTGCAGGACATGGAGTATGTCCACGGTCAACTCTTCGAGCGTTCGGTGGAGTCTGGATGTGGTGCTGTTACCTGTCTTCCAGGTGCGCTAACGATCCTGAGGTTCTCGGCTTTTCGCAAGATGGCCAAGTACTATTTTGCAGACAAGGCTGAGCAGTGCGAGGATCTTTTCGACTACGGCAAATGCCATCTCGGCGAGGATCGATGGCTGACACACCTTTTCATGATCGGTGCAGCCGAGCGCTACCAAATCCAGATGTGCACCGGTGCTTTTTGCAAAACTGAAGCTGTTCAGACTTTCGGTAGCCTTCTGAAGCACCGACGCCGCTGGTTCCTTGGCTTCATCACCAACGAAGTGTGCATGCTAACCGATGCCAGACTCTGGAGGCGATATCCGCTTCTCTGCTTGGTACGCTTTATGCAGAATACAATCCGGACGACCGCTCTGCTGTTCTTAATCCTGGTGGTGTCACTCATCACTACATCTAGCAAGATCGAAAATCTTCCCGTGGGATTCATCGCAATCTCTCTAGGTCTGAACTACCTGTTGATGCTGTATTTTGGGCTGAAGCTCAAGCGGTTCAAAGCTTGGCTCTATCCGCTGATGTTTATTGTGAATCCTTTCTTCAACTGGCTCTACATGGTGTACGGTATATTCACGGCCGGTCAGCGCACATGGGGAGGACCCCGAGCGGATGCAGCGAAAGCGGACGAGCATACATCACCGGAGGAAGCAGTAGAAAAAGCTCGGGAGCAAGGCGATGAGCTCAACGTGATGGTTGATACATTTCGAACCAAGAAGGACGAAAAGGGCATACCCGTCCGCCCAAGCAAGAAAATCCATGGACGCTTGTCGGGTGCACCGCCACTTCCCCATGATTACGGCGATCTGCACAAACAAGAAGACCTCGAGTCCGCCATGGTCAAGTACATGACGCCTCTTCCTGGAGTACCTCGAATAGGGCTGCATCCGTCCTACTCTCTGGAGTCGGTGGCAACAACAGATTCTGGTACGAACTCAATCTGTCTTCCACTGCCCGTGGAGAATTTAGTCAAGGGACAAGAACAGGTCAGACCCTATCACGTTAGTGGTGCACCAGGGTATACCGATTCTGCAGTAGACATCAAAACAAGCTATAGACCTGGAGTCGCAGTCGTTGGGTCGCGTCTACCATCCGCGGAGGACCATGAGAGCGGCATAGTGCATTTGTCAAGCGACCAGACACATGCTGCAGCCACATATAGCACAGCAAGTGAAACAATAGACGAGGATGTCGACTATCGGAACGTTACAGCCGAGGAACCAGACATAAGGGCCCCAGATGCCTGTTATGACCCTTTGACTCAGCACTATATTTCTGTTCCTGCCAGCGCGGGTCTGCGGTGATTCTTCCCACCGGATTAGTAGGACGCCAGCTATTCGGTGTGTTTTGCGTACTGGGCGACGTGGGAGAAGATATCAGTGAATGCAGTGATGGAGTTTGGAATATTTATACATGTTCCATCATGAATTGTTGACATGCGCGCCTCTCTTTTGGTGGTATTCAGGATTTCATCTTTCTCCCTGTGGGTGTTTTATTTTGTATTCAGTTGTATAAACACCTTGCCAATTTGGGTTTCTACCAAGGTACGTTCTTAAAAAGAGAAAAACGCTGTGATATGAATGATCGAGCAAATCGACACGGCTGTCACCAAGCAGCAACGTGTACATTACCTGCGATGCACATGATACAGTACTTTTGAATGATGTTCACTACAGTAAAGTAGTGCCTGACGGCCTGAGGCAGATTTATCTCACTGAGCAGCTTGTGGCCAATGGCAGGGAAAGTAAAACTCTGATTTATCGATAAGCCCCACCGAGGCGGTGAAAGAGGAATTGCCGTGCAGGCCCCGGGCGGTGATCTGGCGGGAGGGCTCGAGTAGGCGCTGGAAGGTTCGATGATGAGATCCTCAGCTTGGGCTTTTCGCCTGATACTTGCTCTGCTGAATGAGTCAATTTCGTCAATGTTGTGTTATTTCTAGCTACAATTGTCTCCTTTCGCAAAGTCAGAGCTCCCAGTAACTGTCCAAACTCTTGATTCATCTTTAAAAAATCTAAAATTATTGTAATCCCTCTAATAATATTGATTGATACCCATCCATTGCCGCCGTTGCCCGACAGCTCATAACATAACGAGTGACGAACTGAGCCACTTACCTAACTTACCTAACAGACCGCCTCCCCCCCCGATAGTGGCGTGGCTGCTGCAAATTCTCCCCCTCGTCCCTCTTCTTTTTGCTCTGGATCCTCACCCAACCTCCCCCTCCCCCATATTACCTCCTCCCACCAACACCTCTTTCTTCCTTTTCTCTCTATTCGCCCTCCCCCCCACCACACCCCCTCTCTCTCGCAAAAATGTCTGTCGTTGGTATTGATCTCGGTGCCCAGAGCACCAAGGTCGGTGTTGCCCGTAACAAGGGTATCGATATTGTGCGTATATCTATCTCTTTTTCCCTATTCTGCCCCTCTACTTATTTTTCCCGCTCCTCTCCTGCTTAGCGTTGGCGGAGACTGATATTTTTCCCAAACGGAGACTAACCAGTATCTTTGGCACCATGATTAGATCACCAACGAAGTTTCCAACAGATCTACCCCGTAAGTTGGCGCCGTTCCGTTCTTCTGTTCGTTCAGCGCAATAATACTGATCTGGTTTGTGCAATAGTTCCCTGGTTGGTTTCAGCGCCAGAAGCAGACACATTGGTGAGGCCGCAAAGACCCAAGAGACCTCCAACTTGAAGAACACCGTCGGCAACCTCAAGCGTTTGATCGGCCGCTCCTTCAGCGACCCCGATGTTCAGCTCGAGCAGGAGTACAGCACGGCCCCGATCTGTGATGTCGATGGCCAGGCTGGTGTTGAGGTCAACTACCTCGGCAAGAAGGAGAAGTTCTCTGCCACCCAGCTGGTCGCCATGTACTTGACCAAGATCAGAGACATCACCGCCAAGGAGTTGAAGCTCCCCGTTTCCGATGTCACCATCAGCGTGCCCGCCTGGTTCACCGATGTTCAGCGCCGCGCTATGATCGATGCCGGTGAGATCGCTGGCCTCAAGGTTCTTCGCCTGATCAACGACACCACCGCCACTGCTCTCGGATACGGTATCACCAAGCTGGACCTCCCCGGCCCCGAGGAGAAGCCCCGCCGTGTCATGTTCGTTGATATCGGTTACAGCGACTACACTGCCTCCATCGTTGAGTTCCGCAAGGGTGAGCTCAATGTCAAGGCCACCGCCTGCGACCGTCACTTCGGTGGCCGCAACTTCGACAAGGCTCTCACCGAGCATTTTGCCGATGAGTTCAAGGAGAAGTTCAAGATCGATGTCCGCTCCAACCCCAAAGCCTGGTCCCGTACCCTCGCCGCCGCCGAGAAGATGAAGAAGGTTCTGTCGGCCAACCCTGCTGCTCCCATGAGCATTGAGTCTCTGATGGAGGACGTCGATGTCCGCGCCATTGTCAAGCGTGAGGAGCTGGAGGTCATGGTCAAGCCCCTTCTTGAGCGTATCACCGTTCCTCTTGAGCAGGTCCTTGCCGAGGCTAAGCTCACGATCGATGACATCGACTCCATTGAGATGGTTGGTGGCTGTACCCGTGTCCCCGCCGTCAAGGACGCCGTTGCCAAGTTCTTCGGCAAGGGTCTGTCCTTCACCCTGAACCAGGATGAGGCCATTGCCCGTGGCTGTGCTTTCAGCTGTGCCATCCTCTCCCCCGTCTTCCGTGTCCGTGACTTCTCCGTGCACGACATCGTGAACTACCCCATCGAGTTCACCTGGGAGCAGTCCGCCGACATCCCCGATGAGGACACCAGCCTGACTGTCTTCAACCGCGGCAACGTCATGCCCTCCACCAAGATCCTTACTTTCTACCGCAAGCAGCCTTTTGACCTCGAGGCTCGTTACGCCAAGCCCGAGATGCTCCCTGGCAAGATCAACCCCTGGGTTGGTCGCTTCTCTGTCAAGGGTGTCAAGGCTGACGCCAACGATGACTTCATGATCTGCAAGCTTAAGGCCCGCCTTAACCTGCACGGTATTCTCAACGTCGAGTCCGGCTACTATGTTGAGGACATGGAAGTCGAGGAGCCCGTTCCCGAGGAGAATGAGAACGGCGAGGTGAGTTTCCCTTTCCCATGAACTTTCAGTAAGATCGAGACTAATGTACCCAGCCCATGGACACTGGCAAGGACGGCGAGCAGCCCAAGAAGACCCGCAAGGTCAAGAAGCAGGTTCGCAAGGGTGACCTGCCCATCTCCGCCGGTACCCCTGGCATCGACGAGTCGCTCAAGAACACCTGGACTGAGCGTGAGAATGCCATGTACATGGAGGACAAGTTGATCGCCGAGACCGACGAGAAGAAGAACGAGCTCGAGGCCAGCATCTATGAGCTCCGCGACAAGATCGATGGTGTCTACTCCGAGTTCGCCAGCGAGGAGGAGAAGGAGAAGCTGCGTTCCAAGCTCATGGACACTGAGGTTAGTCCCATATTCTGCTCATTTTTTTTGTCACAGTGCTAATTCGTCCATAGGACTGGCTCTATGATGAGGGTGAGGACACCACCAAGTCCGTCTACGTGGCCAAGATGGATGAGATCCGCTTCATTGCCGGTCCCATCATCCAGCGCCACCGCGAGAAGGCTGAGGCCGAGCGCCAGGCCGTCCTGCAGGCCCAGGAGGAGGCGGCCGCTAAGAAGCGGGCCGAGGCCGAGGCTCAGCGCAAGGCTGAGGAGGAGGCCAAGAAGGCCCAGGAGAAGGCTGATGATACGGAGATGAAGGACGCCCCGGCTGAGGGCGAGGCCAAGGCTCAGGAGTAAATGTCTCTCTTGGTGGTTGAGCCACTGGCCTAGCGGTGTGGCAGGTGCAGTGTGCTGGCAATGTGGTCACGAATCAATACAAATATCTTGATCCCCCGTGTTATTTCCTTTATTTGTGATTCCTCTTCTTCTTACTTTTTTTTTTGTGCATCGCCGAGAACCGGTTGGCTCTTGTGATGTAAATCCGACTTCGAGCCACTTCTGTTCTGCCCTTGTCTAATCTTTCCCTGTTCGGATCGCTATCAAAGCGGTGCTGTTGCTGGTGAGCGGGACATGGGAGGCAGAAGGAAGGATAAAAGACATAGATACGATATGAACCTTTTTGATAGACGTTTCAGGCAACGGTATATGACTGGTTAATCACTACTGAGGGACTCTGGGGGTGCTCATTATGATTTGAGGCTTATCAGTCCGTGCCTTTTATTTATTGTAGCCTGGAGCAAGGGATGGAAAAGATGATGGGTCATGTGACCCTGCATTCGCATTCTTGCCGAGGATGTTTTCTTCCCTGCACGATACGAATACGAGTGCGTAGGTGAGGTGAGTTGGATTCCACTGGAATTTATTTAGCACGCAGTCAGAAAATGTCCAAGAGCCACATCGCGTACAGTACGTCCCAAGTGGATTGTAGAATAAGTCACCACTGGGCAGTAAGTGCCAGCTGCCAAGTCGCGATAATAATACACAGTAATTTGTATGAGACTACTCCGTCTTGCGGTGGTCTAGGGGGGTTCGGACGGAGTTTAGGCGCTTCCGAATCGATTGGCGATTGGCATTTGGCATTTGGCAGGCAGCTAGTCTAGCTCTGAGAGACTGAGGGTCCTCCCCTCCTACAGAGCTCCATGCCCAGGGGGGCAAAAGAAAAGGAAAAAGCAGGAATGGTTGTTCGTTCCTGTCCTAATCCGCTGCAGCAACGGTTTCCCTGGGAGTGGAGCCCCCTATTTTTTTTTTTTTTTCTTTCTTTTCGGCCTCCTCGGCGGGCGGGTGTGGATAGGCAAAGAAAGGATAGGAATAGGGGGTTGTCCCGTTACCGGACAGGTTGGATGCTGCAGGTAGTGATTGATAGAGAGGAGGAGAGGAAGGAAAACTGTGGGTGTAGCCGAGATAAAAGTACTGTACTGTACACTTCCAAACTGACATATACTAGTCGCGCAAGGCTGTCTCAGGTGGTGTGGCTTGCTTGTTGCTGGGCGGTTTTATCATTAAGGCTCTGACTGCGGGCGGTTTTGTGCTGACTCTTCATTATTATTATTCCACAACTCTCGGACAGTCGGACTGGGTATCTATCTACCGGGAGGGGTTTTTTTTTTTTTTTTTTTTTTTCTTTTTGCCCACCTTATGCAAGTTATGAAAATTAGATGTGTAATGCGCAGGGTTGCCTACCTACCGGTAGACAGGGCAGGGTGGAAAGTCGACAACGCTAAGGCAAGCCATTTCAACCCTACGACATGGGATGATTGCAGCTGCACACATACACCACACACGCGCTTGGCGTTTCGAGTCATGCAATGTCGTGTTCTTCGAGGTGCGCAGACAGACTGATGTGTAACGTGGGCGGCAATTGTCCCTCTCAATCGATTGATTGATTGATTGATTGATTGAGTTCATTTATTCCTTCATGATTATGTATTGTTATCCTAGTCAGTTGACTTGACTTGATTTGATTTACTCTCAGTCACTAGTCTAAGCCCAGGGGAATGAATGGGTCACTCCAACGAGACTAAGACAACTCAGGCAATCTAGTCTAGTGGGGACTAGACTAGTCTGGGCAAGATGGCACGCGAGGATCTCCGGAAAGAGGAGATTCCAACTTGAAAGTTGAACTTGGAACTTTCTCGCTCTGGGAGATGCCATCTTAATTCTTGGCTGGTTCAGACCATGAGAATGACTCTCTGCTCCGGGTTTACAGACTGTGATTGAGAAAAGTACAATGCGACCGACAACGCTTTAGGATGTTCTTTTTTTCCCCCTTCTCTTTACGAGCCCACCTGACAGACACCCTGGGCACTGTCAACCACTCATCCATCCTCCCTTGGTCCTATTTGCCCTTGTCGTCATCGCCCTGACCTCTTCCCTTGGCCGAGTTGAGGAACGATCAGGGTCCAAGCCATGGAACCACGGCGAGAAAATGCTGCGCTTTGAGTGACCTTCAAGATTCTTAAAAGCCCCCTCCAAGTGGAGGTGCCAAATGCCCGCCCCGCTGGCTCGGGTTGAAGTCATCTCGGATTATTCATTCATTCTTAGTTGGATTATTGCTACCCCATTTTCTTCCTTAATTCTTCCCTAATCTAATTGGTATCAGTTAGTATTTTAGTCTTCGCCCCTCACAAAATCCCCTTTCAACAATTTCGCTACGGATCGGCCGGATCGCCGGCTGGGGTCAGCAACAGTCATTCCGTTCTTGAACTATTCCTTATAATTATCCCCGAGGGCTCGCTTTGCTTTGCTCGA